CGGAGCATCCTGCTTACTTGGGAAGGCGGAATGAAAAAGTCACCGAGTATGGGGTGCTATAGCCACACTGCTGCCACCACTGACTGCCTGTGTGACCCTGGGCAAGTTACTGCAGCTCTGTGTGCCTCAGTCCCTTCATCTGTCAAATGGGAAGATTAACAGTGTCCACCTCCTGTGTGTGTTGTGTGGGTAAGAAAAAGGCAGTTCATGTCCTTTTGTTATCCCCCTGGTCATCTTTTCAACAATTCCAGAGCCTGGTGCCATTGTCACCCTCACTTGTAAAGTGGGAAATGGAGGCCTAGAGGGCACAAGGATTGGTCCCCGGACACTCAGCCAGGATGCAACATAAGCCAGGCATTGTTGATTTCAATGTCAATGCCCTTTCTCCCACAGCTAGCCTTTTGGGGACCAGGATCTTACAGAAAATCTGATGACAACGAGAGACCCTCTTGCCAGAAAACTAAACATGCATGCACACACGCACAGCTTTTCTGGGTTTCAGCCAGTGGCTGATCCAGGGCTGTGGAGATGGCCAATCCCACAGAAACCTTCCAAGGGGTGAGGCAAGGATGCTATCTCTGGAACTCAATGTATTGAAGGGGCTTCTTTTCTGCGCCGGGCAGAAGTGCTGAGCCTGCATCCCCTTCGCACTGGCCCCCAGGGGTGGGCAGGGGGGCCTGGGAGAGTCCCTTACACAAACATTTGCCGAGGGTGCATTTGGGGCTGTCAATGGCTGTCGATAAGGACAGGCTCTCTTTCTGTGTGGCAGGATTTGGGGACTTGCTGAGTTGTGAGCAGCGGCTGTATACTCAGCCTGGGTTTCTCTGGTTTCTCGTTTGAGTCTGGCTCATCCATTCCTCAGCTTCAGACTGATGGCCCTGCCTGCACCTGACACTGTGCCAGGGAACAGCATATGCAAAGACCCAGAGTCCTGCCCACAGCTGGGGAATAGTGAGCACTGTCGGAGGTGTAGTGGGAGGTGTAGTGGGAGGGCTGGAGAGGCTCTGGGTGAGCAGAAGGGGTTTTCTGAAGGTTTGGCAGGCTGAGCTACAGTCCCAGGGCTTCCATCCTGTCTTGTGGGGGATATGTCTTGCATGACTGAGACACCACTCAGGTCTACTTGCTGTCTTGACAAGGCCAGTGAGGCCCACCTGGAAAACTCACAGCTCTGTAAGAGAGACCTCCCCACAACCTGCCCCTAAGCTGCTGCCTGATCTGGGAAGTATCACTGGCTGGGACAGGAAACAATCCTGTCCCCAGGTGATACAGTTGGCCCCAGCAGTGATGGGGACAGATGAAGGAGCAGTGCAGGTGCTGGGGTAACTCGGGCCATCCAGGAAAGCGAGAAATGTGTACCTGCTGGCTGTTCTGGGGCTCACTGGGAACAAAGGCAGGGTGCCACCTGAGACGTCAGAGCACCATGGGGGACGTGGCAGGAGGGCCACCAAGCCCCTTCACAAGTCTGGCCCCACAGCCCTCTCCACCTGCGCCCTCCCCCAATGTGCCAGGCTCACAACACCTCTGCTCAGGCAGCCTTTTCATGGGTACAAATGTCCACTCTGTGGGGAGGCCTTTCTGGACCACTCATGGCTCAAACAACATGCCCGGTCTCTTCTGCCTGGACCGAAAGTCCCACAGGGTCACTCCTGGCCCCCTGGCCCGTCAGTGCAGGCAGCTATCCTGGCCACCCCGCCACCCTTACCGTGGAAGTGCTCGACCGTCTTCCGCCGCAGCGCCTGCAGCGTCACCTCGGAGTCCGCCCACTCCAGGACCAGCCTCCGGCCGTACAGGTGGGTGCTGTGACACAGGGCGTTGAAGGCTCGCTGGGGGAGCAGGGATGGGAAAGAAAATACAGTGCATTAGCTAAGACCTAACCTTGGACACTCCACTCTGTCTTCCTGCTGGCACCACAGACCCAAAGGCCAGCTTTGGCCCTCTGACACCTGCTCTTGGGAGGGTGTGCGAGCCGCCAGCACATCTACTTCATTAGTGGGTTACGTTCCAAGGAGAGAGCTGCAAGTGCCAGTGCAGTCAATATGTCCTCTGCCTGGGCCTGTCACTGGGGTCTGGGCCAGGTGGCGGTGGCTTCTTTCCAACGGCACATCCTGTCTGGGGAGAGCGACCCCATTAACCGACTCCCTCCACCCGGCTGTCAGGGGCAGCCCCATGTGAGAAAGCTGAGCCCTGTTTGCACTTGACGACCATGCAGGCCCCTCGTTCTCACTCGGTGTCTCTCTCCCTCGCTGGCCCTGGTGATTCCATCTCCCATCCCTCTGTGCTGCCCCAGGCCAAGCTGCCCTTGGCCTCCTCACTGCCCCCGGCCTTCCCGGCCACCAGCTTCTCCCTCAGAGCCTCCACAAGGAACCAACCCTTTGGACACCTTGGTTTTCAACTTCTGACCCCTAGGATTGTGAGACCAGAATATTTCTGTTGTTCTAAAGCCCAGTCTGTGGTACTTTGTTACAGCAGCCTAGGAAGATACTAGTGATCTGGGGTAAGCTGACTGCCCCACTCTGAGCCTTGGTTTCCTCATCTGTAAAATGGGGCACACAGTGACTACTTAGTAACTGAAAGTGTGCAAAGTATTGGTGGGAGGTGGGTGGGACGTGTCTTTCCAAACCCGACGTGGGCAGGTTGGAAGAGTGCTTTGTTCTCTGCTGTGTTTTTCTGAGAAAGGCCAGGTGCCGGAAACTTTTTCTCCCCTCCGCCTTTTTTTTTTAACTTTAATTTAAAAAACTCTTTCTGACTGCCAACAGAGTCTCTGCGTTCTTTTCCACGCGGATATAAAAATGCATCTGGACTCCGAGCCGAAATGGCCCATTCAGAGCTTTACAACACATGCGTTCTCAGCTGGCGAGGCAGCGGAACAGCCTGATCGCGGGAGCTGGGGTTTCAAGATGGGAGAGAGATTGGTCGGGAGTCTGGCGCGGTGGGTATTCCATCCTGGTGCCAGGGTCCCTGAGGAGCTGCGGTCCCAGGGACACAGTCGGGTGGGGGAGGCCAAGAAGCTGCATCTGGTGGAAGCTAAGCCCAAACTTGAAGAACAAACAGAGGCTGGGAGGGGGTCCGGTGAATGCCTGGCCCTCTGGCTTCTATTTAGGGTAAGCAAATGGGAGTTGGGGGGGGGGGCAGGCAGGAAGAGAGGGGCAGGCATTTTTCCCCCTGCTCCTTCCTCCAGGACTATGGCCCCTGCAGCTCCAGGCTCACCTTTCCCTCCAAGCATCCCTTCAGCAGGTGGTGACAGCTCCCAGTGTCACTGGTCTCTAGGGGCTTCACATCCCTGATGAGTCCAAGCCCTACTGACTGACCCCCCCCGCCAAATCCCTCTTCCTCTGGACCATCTGGGGGTAGGTTCTGTCTCCTGACCCAGATGGCAGCCGCAAGCTCTGCCTCGACCCAGGGCAGATGGACCTCTCACCCCGGACAGCAGGTCTTGCGCCTTGGCCCTGATTAGAGGACGTGAGGCCGGCAAGGACTGCTCTGCACTTCCAGCTGGCTCCAGAGCTACCCATCACCCGGCTCTCTGGCCCGGCTGTCCCAGAATCACACCTCTTTGATCTCCTCCGACCTGAGCCACCAATCACCGGCACCAGGAGCCCCAGCCTCAGCTGCCTTTCCCACGTTCCCCAGGAAAAACCTGTGAAGGTGGAGGGAATGATGGCGCTGTCGTGACTGTGTCCAGGCCTGGCGGCCGTCTTTCCAGAACAGAGAGGCACTGGATGGCGGCCAGTGCAGCTTGGGCCCAACCTTTCCACAGCCTTCCCTGGAGACAGGCCTCCTCCTCCGGCAACAAAGGCCCATTGGATGCCCTTGGCAGGACTACCGTCAAGGGCTGTGGCTCTGGGCAGAGCCGAGGACGGGCCTCCTGTCTTTCAAAGTCCAGGGAGCCTTCTCAGCCTGGCCCCTCCTGCTCTGTGTCCTGCAGACGTCAAATCCACCTGAACATGGACACTGCCAACCTGTCCCAAGCCATCTGTGCCCCCATCGCCGGGAGGAAGCGTGACCTAAGCAGGCCAAGAATGATGTGTGCCCAGGAGCACAGAGAGCAGGAGCACCGGCTGGGCTAGAACTGCTACGGGTCCTTCTCTGCCAATTCAAGTGGAGAACAGGGGCCTGTGACTCCTGGGAGGAGGGCCTGCACCCTGGGATGCTATGCCATTTCCCTGTGGTGATGTCCTGTCCTCGAAGGGGCAGTTCCTTCTAGCTCCTGTCCCCACGCTCCCAGAGTCCTGTACACAAGCTCTTGGCCAATCCTACAGCTGCTTCTGGCCTCACAGGGCTGGAGCTGGGAAGAAGCTAGTCCGGGAATAAGTGGGGCCCTTTGTACAATATTGGGTGACAGACTGTGGGTCCCCACTTAGCACCCTGCTCCACTCCAAGTCATGATACGGTGGAGATGAGGGAGAGCTTCTGAGAGAAACACTCAGGGCCCCATTTCCAGGCTGTCATGTCTAAAATCTTCCAGATAAATAATTGTCCCATCCATCCATCCATCCATCCATCCATCCATCCATCCATCCACTCAGCTCAATCCAGTTAAACTCAACACCCTGGTGCTGCTGATTCTCAGTGATGTAGGACGTTTACCTTCTCATCTGAGGATGTGGCCTGTCCTGATCCAGTTCCCAGCCCATGCATGCGTTGGCTGAGCCTGAGTCTTCCTTGAAATGCAAGGCTCAGGATTCAAACACATTTCCTGGGACTCTGATGACAGGAACTACACAAACACAGGCGAGTGCACACATCCAACACACACGTGATCAGAGGAGTGGGACAGAACCCAAGTCGTGAATTTGCTTCCAGTTAACATTTTGGGAGACAAAGAACTACCGATACCCGGCTTCAGCCACAGCATCTCCAACCCATGGGGCCCCGAGCACCCAGCTGCCTCCACTTCCCTGGTGTGAGGCCCTTACACAGCACTCTACTTTATCTTCCTGATTGCCACAAGGGGCAGCCTATTTCCTGTTGTGTGATGAGTGACCTGGGGTTTAGGGACATGAAATCCCTCTCCATGGTCACGTAGCTGGAGAGAGGCAGTTCTGACTCCACAGGCCACACTGCCAACCACTGCATGGCTCCGCTTGTCCTGAACACAGGCTGCCCAGGGGTGACACGCCCCACGGATTCCTCATTTCCATGGGCCAGTGTCCGCTTCAGACCCTGGCTGCATCCCCACAGGCCCCCATGGAGAATGAGCTCTCTGCTCCCTCCCTGCACTCAATTAAGCAAACGTGTGTCGCAGGCTCACCATTGACCATAGGATGGCGATCACTGTTTACTGTGCATTTAACGTGGCCCAGCTGCTTAAGCAGCACTGTCTGGCTTGCTCACCACCTCTTCCCACCACATGCCTTGTTTCAGTGGAATCTGCAAGGTGAAGGCCACAGGCATGGCGAGGCCTAATGGGAGCCCCTCCAAAGCGACCAGCATCACCCCGCCAGGGTGGGCCCAGCCCTGTGTCCATGCTGCTCCCTCTGCCCCTCCCCCATCAGCATGCAAAAGCGAGACACGTGGAAGGCGACATTAACTGGTGCGACCCTACAATTAAAGCTGTGGTTGTTTACCACAGTGAGAACGGCTCTGCCTGCCTGCCAATGCCGACTGCCATCCCGTCTCCCCACTGCCGGCTCCCCCCAAGTGTTTATTTAAGCCAACACATTGCTCTGCTAATTGGATAACATTCCATGTGAAAATAGACCTTTTAAAGCAACAGCAGTGGTGGCAAATAAAAACAGCTGCAACTGCAAAAGTACAAAGCGGGGTGGGCCGGGAAGAATTAAAGGCACATGCATGGGAAAGAGGGATATCCCGGTATCCGGGCTGCAGGTCAGTCCTTTGTGTTCCTTCCCTTCCACGGTGCTCTTCCCTCCTTCCTCCATGACCAGCCTGGTCTGTCTGGGTGAAGAAAGAGGAGGTGGCAGCTTCTAAATGGCATCCCAGTGGCTACTGGCTACCTCTTGGCCAATGGGGATGGGCATGCCCATCTGGGAACCCTGGGTCACCTGCCCAGGTAGGCTCTTGCTGCAGGCTGGACGAGACAAAGTGTGCGATGTATGTCAGGTACAAAGCCTGCGCAATTGGTCTCGGGAGCCTCTGGCTGTAGTAATCAGTTGCCTGGTTACTCTGAGCTCAGCCACAACAGCCTTTCTGGAGCCTCGTGCTAGAATCCTCTTCCTAGTTTTGAGGTGTGTGCTTGACGCTGAGGGGCTTGCCTGATGAGAGTGCTCTCGATGACGTTTGGGGCGGAACTCGGGGGTCATGGAGAAAGATCGAAAGATTCAGAGTCCCCAAGGGCAGGGAGCATGGAGATGACGCCTGCTTGGGGCCCAAGCAGAGGCGGTGGTGCCGGGGGACGCACCAGGCCAATTTCTCCTCTCCTCAGCCAGCTGGAGAAGTGGACTGAGAAATGCCAGGGAAAGAGCACCATGCTGGGAGCCGACAGCCTGGGTTCAAGCCCCAGCCTGGCCCTGCCCAGAAGCCATAGCTTTACAGACTCGAGGTTCTACAACCAGCTTTTACTCCCTCCTACGTCTCTCCCTGAACATCTGCTCACCCATCCCTCCCATCGTTGCTTCCCCTTCTCCCTTCTTCCCATCTGAGGACTGCGTGGGGCCCCCATAGGAGGCTCACACCTCCAAGTTCAAGTAGGTACTGAAGCGGAGAGTGGCCGATGGCTGATTTTCAGGGAGGGCACTGTGGCAGGAGATGGGAGTGAGGCCACTGAGCCCTGGGAAGGTTTCTAAAGAAGATTGCTTTTCTAGAGCGCTTCCGAAAAAGGAAGGCCACTCAGGGAAGCTTGCCCCGAGGACCTGAGAACCAGGGAGGCGCCTGGGAGTCCCACTCATTCCTTATGTGAAGGTTAAAAAAAAAAGATCCTCGGGGTTTTTACTCCATGTCTCCTCAGAGCATCGCTCACCCTCTTGTAACTCACGTCCACCCTCGAGCTCACTAGATATTTACAATATTCACAATTCCATTCACCAGCAGCCAGTGCACACGGCTCCGTGGGTCAGTGGAGAGCGCTAACTGTTCCACTCGGGAGACAATGGAGTTCTTCAGGCAGCCCGGGAGAAGCACCGCAGCTCCTCGGGGAAGCAAAAAGAGCAAGGGGAGCTCTGCAGCAGACACTCCTCATCGGCTCAGGATGCACGAAGGGCTGGGTGTTTGGAGAGGGCACGAAGAGTGCTCGCATCTGGGGACAGGGAAGAGCTGTGCCTGGACTGGCGGGGCCAGACGTAGCTTCCAAGCCCGGCTGCCGGCTGTTACAGGCGAGGGGCTGTGTGGTGAGTATTTGCTCTCCTTGGTGCCCTTTCTCCTGGAGCCGGGACTGGAAGGCAGGGGAGGTTGGAGGGGGAGGAGCTGCCAGCCACTGGGCTGAGCTTGGCATTGACACCCGTAGCCTGGCCTCCATGTGGGGCAGGGGCCACTCAGGCACTCATGCTGCCCTGTCCACCTGAGAGCCCCCTTTCCATTCCGAAGGTGACCGTGTCCTGGCCCTGGGCCCATGAAATTTCGAGACTGGGAGCCTATGCCCGGTCTAACCCTCCTGGCCCCGGAGCAGGTCCATCCTGGAGAGATGCCATGTGCGGGGAGATGGCTCCTTCCCTGGTCCTTCTTTTCGCGCCATCACCATCTTCACCACTGTTACCATCCTCCCCCTCACAGCTAACAGGCAGGGATCACAGGGGCCCTGTACTAAGAATCTCATCTCATCCAAACCTCACGGTAACTCGAGGACAAAAACCCTTTTACCACTCCATAAGGGGAAAGTGAGGCGCATGGAGAGTCAGGCACCTGTCCGAGGTCACACGGCGGGAAAGCAGCAGTGCTGGGGCTCGAACTCGGGCAGCCTGGCTTCCACCTGCGCTCTAGCAGGTGGCCCTCACACTGGCCCTTCGTTCTTCTCTCCGGCCACAGGGGAAGGGCCGGCCAGCTCTGAGGGGATCTGGGCGGGTGGCAACGAGGCGGAAACAGCTCACCTTGTGCCAAGCCCGGGGCCAGGGTTTCATGTGCACCATCCGCCTTCACCCTGTGAGGCAGGACCTGTTATCCCTCCTGTTTGACAAATGAGGAAACTGAGGCCCAGGGCTAGGAAAGCTGAGATGCCGGCAGTAACAGCTGACGCTCTGGGTGGCTGTCCCCTGGCTTCCCTCAGAGCTGATGCCAGGCCTGCACACATGGGGTGCTGCCCCGTCCCTGCAGCCACTGTGGGAGGCGAGGGAAAGGCGGCAGGCCGAAAAGAAAAGGGAGCAGATGTCTGGACAAACGTGGCCGTGCGTTGACAAAACAGGCACTTGAGCTTAAGATGCCGAGACAAAGGTGACTGGCAAGGCTCCTGAGGTTCTGGGGTCCCTTCTGCCTGGATGTGTTCCCAGGGTCCACAAAGGCTGCAGCTGTGTCCCCGAAATGTCATCTTAGCTCCACCCACCGGGCCTCTGGCAGTGCCAACTTGCTAGAGGCCTATGGGTGCAATCCCGGCAAACAGCCCACTTTCCTAGGAGGTGGTGGGTTCCTAGCCTTGGGTGAGACCTGTGCGGGGCTTTATTGTGTCCTCGAAAGAAGACGAGGCCGAGGGAGGAGCAATGCCACAAGGGCTGTGACCATGGACAAAGCTGGACCCCAGCCACAGCCTCTGCCCCACGTTGGCTGCTGGGCCAGGCGAGGGCGCGGTCAGTTCCCACCACAAGAACGAGCCCGCGTGCTGCACCGTGCCCCAACCCAGAGGCTGCCTCGCTTGAAGAGTAAAGGGCGCTCCACATCTCTAGGGAGCTCCGAGGGACTCTGTGCACAGCAGCACCTGCCTGGGCTGCCCTCGCCTGCAACCAGCCACCAGGAGGGAGGAGGGAAGAGGGAGGAGGAAAGGAAAGACGTGTTGCACGGGTCCCCATGTGGGTGCCTTGGAGTCTCCTTGTCAAGGTCTGTCTGGGATGCCCACCCCGGGGAGTACAACCTAGGAGCTTTCTGTCTGCCCTGGAGAGGCCTGGGAAACCCACTCACTTCCCCACTGCGTATTCCAGGTCCCTGTGCATGTGATGTGGGCGAGAGAGGAAGGAAAGGGGATACAGAACTGTTCCTTCCTCTAAACGCAAAACCCAGGGTTTTTTCTTCCAAGGATGTCATGCAAATTAGCAGGGTTGGAGGAATCAAAAAAAAAAAAAAA